CATTTTTTTTTTCCCCCCCCCCCCCCCCCCGTGGCAAAACACATACCAAGATTGTAGATCTTTAGATCTTTTATCTTCTTTGATCCATTTCTACAGTAACATGAGCCGGGAAGAAAGCTGCCTACAGTTAACAGCTTCCTGTGCCACACTGTTCAGCTATATAAAAGTCTCTTTAAAAAACATCCAGTCACCTACCATACAAATTACAGCGCAAATCCTGGATCCACTACACGCTGCAAACACATTTCTTTCTCCTTAGAAGAAATGGTTCCTATGAACCATGAAAAACTTCGATTTTGACTTTCCCAAACAGCGTGAGTACTAGTGTCGCAGACATTTTGAAAAAACAAAAGCCACTCACCGATGTGAAGTGTATTTCCTTCCAAGCGACTCTGGCACACATCCACACTGTTCATCTCTTCTTATTTCATGGGTCAAAAAGAGCCTCAGGTGGAAGCCAAAGATTAACAAAAACCCCTTCCGCGCACTGGAGGGGGCAGACAGCAGCTAACCCTGGGGCTTCATCATCGCCAGGCCCACCAGCTGCTTGCAGTGGCTTGTTTTTCGGGATGGTGACCTCTAATACCTTTTCTTCAGCACCGCAAAGCAATCCCAAAGGTTTGTCAGGCACATCACGTGCCCAGCCAACACCTTAAGAGGGTGGGAAGCTCTGCAACCAGGAAGAGGTGCTGAAAATCTTGAGCAGTCAGCCCAGCTGCATATCAGCAGAGCCTAGCTGGTTTTTCACAAAACAATCCAATGGCACAGGGAGTCAAGGAGAACTGATTTCTGCAGTTATGAACCAGGAACCACCTGTACTAGGTACTGTACTGCTCCAAAAGCTGTCCCCCCCACTTCCCCACCTTACACTGAACGTCTGGGCAACCACATGAGTACATTGCCAGCAGTATTTCTGGAAATTGAATCCGTTTTTCCCCTCTGTTTTGGAGTTTGATTTTTCTCCACTTTTTTACTCACCTGATAATAATTTTCTTCTGGTCTTTATACGCCAGCTCTCCTTATGGCCAGGAATACATCACAGTCCCCAAAAGAGCAGTTTTGATTTAAATATATCTTCCCAGCAACCGCACAGACTGGCACAGACTCTTGGAACAACTGTCAATAACTCTTTCCCAGCATTTAACCCGTTGTTCACTGAGTTCACTATCAGGGATATCTGCAGTTGGTTAAAAGTTGCATCTAGGCAATCCAAGTCTCACAGTTTGCTAAGAACTCTGTCACTGTTTCCCCCTCTGTGACTATCCAGATTGCAAGTTTAAGAACGAACATTAAACATTCTGACTCCAAACAGCCAGTCTCAGGGATCAGATAATCAAGTAGGCTGTCACATGATCTGGGTTAAACTTACGCTTTTTGCCTCTGTGACTGAAGCGTAGATGTCTCCTTCCCATATCTCCTGAAGGAGAACAGCGAGGCCAAGGATGACCGAAAGCTCATTCGAGAAGAAACGGATGGTTTTGGATTGGTTAGATTTTTAGATCTTGGTGTTTGTAATTCCATAGGATCTAAAATAAAATTTTAAAAAATTGCAAAATTTTTATATTGCTAAAATACTTGCAGACAGGCACTGGGGAGGTAGCTCAGTTATAGCATGCACAAGCCCATGGATTCCATCCCTATCACTGATGAGCCCTATGTGGGGGTGATTGCCTGAAATCCCAGCACTCTGGAGGTAGAGTTAGGAGGATCAAAGTTCCAGGTCATCCTCAGGTACACACCAAATTTGAAGCCATCCTGGGCTATGAGACCCCACTTTTAAAAAACAAAAACACTATTTTCAGGTAAATATACTTTTGGTTGTTTTTATTTACAAGAGCACACTAATTAGTTCAGGCTGGTCTGGAACTCACTAGGTAGCTCAGGCTGACCACAAACTTGCAATCCTTCTGCCCCAGTCTCTTGAGTGCTGGGATTGTAGGTGTGGGATTATTAGCACTATTCCTGGATTTCAGATAAATCTACTTGAGAGATGGAAGGTGTGGCTTTTGCTTCCCCCTCCTCTGTGCAGTCTAGAAGCACAGTTGGTATGTCCTCACATGACTTCAGGAATGAAGGGGATGAAGCGCTGTCTCTCCGAGTCCTGAGCTCCTGATGGTTCTGCTTGGTGGAGAAAACCCTCACAAGAAGGGTGCTTTTCAGTGCATGTCCCGGGTCACAATTCTTCAGAGGATTCCTTGCTTGATACTAGCTATGTGGGTCTTTCTCATGTCTTCTTCATGGGTATTCAGTGCCCATGCTAGCAAGTCAGGGGATCCATCCAGCTCTCACACCGAACCATTCCATCTTTAGATATTTTTATTTTCAGTACTTTAAAACCACGGGGATAGTTTTATGTAACTCTTTTATGCCAAAGAAAGTAAATAAAAGGGAAATGAAACCATTCAGTGTGTTCTTTATTCCTTTCCAAAAATCTATCTTGGTTTATACATATTCAGTTTAAATAAGTATGTATATAAACATATGTTTAATGTATCATGTATAGATGACATACAGCTTTACATATGAGCCTAAAAATTTTGACAGTGCATCAACATACACAAAGATGTAATACCATAATCCTTTGTACAGCTGCCTTTCTTCCCTCCTCCACACGCCCCGCCAACCTTCTCCTCCACTGTTTCTTCCTCTTCATCAGCTTCCCATTTATTTAAATGCTTACTGCATTCCATGTTAATTACCTTTTATTTCTTTCTTTTCATTTTTTGAGGCAGAGTCTTATTCTATAGCTCAGACTGGACTGAATCTTACTATGTAGCCCAGATTGGACTCAAACTCATGGTAATCCTCCTGCTTTGGCATTGTGAGTACTGCGATTACAGGTATGAGCTTCCACAACCAGTTCAGGCTAAGTGTGTGTGTGTGTGTGTGTGTGTGTGTGTGTGTGTGTGTGTGTGTGTGTTGTGTGTGTTGTGTGTGTTGATATGCATGAATATAGGGGTGCATGTGCATGCCATGTGCATGCATGTGGAGGTCAGAGGACAACCTCAGTTTGTCAGTCCTCACTTCTTTGAGACAGGGTCTTTGTTGTTTGCTGCTCTGCTGTGAATAGCAGGCTAGCTAGTCCATGAGCTTTGAAGGATTCTCCTGTCTCTGCCTCTGTCTCGCCACAGGGGAGCTGGGATTATGGATACGCACCACTGTGCCCAGCTTTATGTGGGCCCTGGAGACTTGAATTCAGGTTCTCATATTTGCAAACTAAGTGCTTTACCTGTTGAGCTAGCTCTCCAGTCCCTCAGGTTAATTCGTAATACATAGAATCTTATTTAATTCTCACAACCACTCTATAAGGTAGGCATTAGACCAATTTAAAATGATACAATTGAAGTTTATTAAGAACAATGACTGGCCAATCTGGTCAAGACAATATGGATAGAGGGAGAGTGGAGATTTGTATCAAGCACTTTGACCTCCATGATTGCCCTGTTAAGTGCAGTACAATTTCAGTTCCTTCTGTCTAGTATATGCTATGTTATGAAAATTTTGTCCTCTATGAATCCTGAGCTACAGATTGGTTAAACTGCAGACCCACGGATCCATCGTCTCCTATAATATTGCCACAAGGGAAGGAAAAGACACTTTAAATCGAATTATTTTTTCTCACCGCCTTTTGCCGTCTCCTTCCTCAGCCGGGAGGTAAGTGGTGGTTTTAGCATTTGGCTAACATCTGTTTCATTGCAAAACTTCTTTCTTTGAATTTCTTCAAACCATTCACCAGTTGCTCCTTGAAGCCATCGGATGTCCCTCTTTGTCTTTTGGAGTTTGCTGAAATCAAACAGTGCATTGTTCAAATTCATTCAAATCCAGTGCAGACTCATATAATGAGCTAAACTACATATACTCCAAAGGCAGCATAAGCGACAAATCTCGGAGAAAACTGGCTCTGGTTAGACTTTCCCTCTGGTCACAGTGTAAGGTATTTACACACATTCTTCTATATAGGATGATAACCTAAAAGTTTTTGCTGGTTGTTAAAATAATCAGAGAGTCAATGACAAGAAACCAGGTTGAGCAATGTTCTAAGACCTGACCTAATAAAGCAACGAAATGATAGATGTTCTAATGACGTGTAGAAACTGGAATATTCTGGTTCTGATTACTCATTCATTAATCCATTAAATGTTTATTGAGCAATGTTAATCAACTAAATGTTTATTGAGGTCCTATGCAGGCAGTGGGGATTTGACAGATAGGATCCCTTCTCATCCATCTAGTGGTCAGAGACTAAAGCTAACATCTGGAAAAGAAATTGTTAACGTAATGGTCTTAGGTGATGGAATTCTTTCAACACAAAGACAGATCTTGAATGAGCACGGGGCTGGTGCTCAGGCTGTAGGGGACAGTGGACTTTGAGATGGGCAGCAGATGCCATCCAGAGCATGAACGTGTCCACCCTTCTATACCTTCAGAATGCCAGGCTTGAAATGCTGACTCGACTCCTTTGTCCTCTTCTGTTTTTCCTTACACAGCTGCCTTTGCAATGAAAATTAATTAAATCGCCATTGTGATTCATTCATTTTTTCCCAGAGTATGTAATTTCACAGAACTCTAGAAGTGTTCTGAAATGAGAGGTGCTTGATCCAGAGGGAAATGCCCCTGGACGGGGCCAAAAAGAGCAGAAAGTTTGAAGAACACAGTGACAAACCTTAGAAAGTAGATGGTTTTTCGTGGCTCTGTTGAAAACAATCGGGGCTTGCTGGGCATGGTGGCACACACCTTTAATCCCAGCACTCACGAGGCAGAGGAAGGCTGATCTCTGTGAGTTCAAGGCCAGCCTGGTCTACATAGTGAGTTCCAGGTCAGCTGGGGCTACAGCAGAGAGACCCTGTCTCAACCCCCCCCCCGCCCCAAAAAAAAGAAGAAAAAGAAAAAAACGGGGCTTATTGTTGGGTCCCAAGATTTGGAAGTTCTAGTGTTTTGGGACTATGTCATGTTACAGAGCAGCCTTATCCATGGTGTTTTGGAAAGCATGAGTGTTTGGGCTTTGTGTGTGTGGGGGGGGGTGTTTTGTTTTGAGACTGACCTTGAACTCACAACCATCCTCTTGCTTCCATCTCTCGAGTACTAGGATCGCAGGTATGAGTGGTGTTAGGTTTTTGTATTGCTGAAAAGATGACAAGTGTGATGTCTGCCAAGTGGCCACTTTGGAGTTAAAGCCAGTGTGCCAAGATGGCAGCACCTTACTCCTGCTTGGGGCTATGATACTGCTGTTTTATACAAATATTCGAGAGGAAGCCAGAGGTCATCCTGCCCAGACTTGCAGCATGAAAAGCATTAGGCAGCAATCATGTTCAGCTCACAGACTTGCACTGGTGCCTCCCCTTTAGCTATCACCACTTGCTGACATCTGGTCACTCCTGTCCCTATTGCCACCTCCCTAACTAACAGAACAAAGAGACCCTCCAGTATCTGCTTGTAACCAATATTGGCATTTCACTTACTAATGCCATCCATCGCTTCCACTTTCTCAAAACCCTCCCTAATTGTTAGCCCAAAGCCAGCGCCACCCTCCTCCACACCTAGCACATCTATCTTATTTCAGGAGCTACCTGACAGGATGCTCTATATAAACCTACATATAGGGTTTTCTCCCCCACAGGCTTGTAGGGGGAAAATGATGTAACTTGAACTCTCTTTTTAAAAATCATCACAGTTCACTTAGTCCCACCTTAAACACTCTTTCTTGCACATACTTACCATCACTATCCCTTTTGCATTTCTGACCTATGAAGTCAGTCACTTGTACTTTCCTGTGAACACATGCACTTGAATTGTATTCCAGGAAACATATCTTAAAGCAGTAACCACGCACAAGGGCACGCATTTAAATGAATGCCATGTAGTTGCTAACCATAATTATGTAGGCAAGGTAGAATCCTGGGAAAATGCATGTAGCATGAAAAGAAAAAACAAAATATAGCATCTAATCTGCGATTACAGCGATGCAAAAATGATGCAACCATTTGAACATACTCAGGGAAAATAGAAACATCTAATCTCTTAAAGTAGGATAATTATAGGTACTTTTTTATGGTCAACTTCTTTGTTGTGTGTATTCGATAAGTACAATGCATAGATTTGTTTCTTTCTGCTTAGTTGTGGATTTTTATTTACATTATCACTTTTCTACTACATACTTTTTGAAGAAAGGGGTTAAGTTGTATTTTTGCAATCTGAACAGAGTTTTAGTGCCTCTTTGTTGTTGTTTTTCCTTGTGTTTTTGTACGGTTATGATACATCTATCCTGTATACATTTAAGGAAGGCCTCATATGGTGCCTGGGTACAACAGTAAGCAGAGCAGGAATGGCCCCACCCCAAGGAGACTGGTGTTCAATGGGAGAAAGCAGCAAGAATCCCACCTGATACAGAGCAAGGTAGCCAGTAGCTAAGAGTGTGATTTATGCATTCAGCACCCTGGAACGCTGAGGGAAGAAGAGTAAAGTCCTTGCTCTCAGGAATTTAAATTCTACTGCAGTGGAAGTGTTCTACTTTGGGGGCAAGGAAAATAAAGAAGAAAACAGCAAACAGGTACACCTTGACTATGAGAGAATTTAGCAAGGGGATGTGCTCTGGGCAGCAGTGATGACTTCCTGAACTGACAGGGTAGAAAAAGGAGGAGGGAGGAGGGGCAAAGGGTAGTGGGCAGGGGGTGCGAGAAAGAACATCCTAGGCAGAGAGATATCAGCTGTAGGTGGAGTGTGGTAGTGGAGAGGAAGGTTAAACAAAGGAGAGTCCAGAGAGGCTGCATCTATTTTATGTAGCATTGGGGGTCAGGGTGTTAGGCTCTTGAAGCAATGAGACTAGACTAGACTAGACTCCAGGCGGGGACAGAAGGCCAGTCCGAGTACTTGTGGAGTCTAGGAGAAAAAGGCTTTGGTTTCAACCAGGTTGATGGTGATGAACCTAAGTGAAAACTAGAGTATTTAGAGAGAGACTTAGAGGATAAAACTGAACAAGAACCATCATGATGGGGTGGTTGAGAGAGTCAGGATACATGTCAAGAGATTCCTAGATTTCTCATTTACATAGAGCATTGAAGACGCTACTCATAGAGATGATGCATATATAACCTTAAAACAACATTTTATCAAAAACACTGCTGAGATGAATCAGGAGGTAAAGACACTTCTCACCAAATCTGATGCCCTGAGTTCAGTCCCTGGAACCCACATGATGGAAGAAGAGAATTGACTCCTGTAAGTTGTCCTCTGACCACACATGTGCCTTGGTGCTCACATACATATATGTGCATGTTACATACATATACACACATTTTTATTTAATAAAAAAACCCATAAGCATTACTTCTCTTCAGAGCAATCACTAAATGATCAATGTAATATATTTTCCATAATTTTTTTACTAGCCTCCTGGAACAAGATACTGTATAAACATAGTGTGCCATTTTTGATAGCCTGAACCTTGAATTTTCTGGCTCTTGACCGTATATGCTCAGCCACTGTCCCAACAGTCAGTCCAAGATCACCCTTGAAGTATTCATACTTTATTTAAATGCCTCTAAAATGTTTCAGAATCACACCCTTTGCACCACTGTATGAAGCTCACTTTTTGGTAATTTATTTATATATTGTGTGTGTATGACTGCTTTGCCTCTAAGTATTGACACAATTAAAACTAACATCATTGTATTTTCTGCTTTTAGCATCTCAGACAGAAATAGAATGATTGAGCCAAAGAGTCAAAATATTTATCAAAAACACTGCTGAGATGAATCAGGAGGTAAAGACACTTCTCACCAAATCTGATGCCCTGAGTTCAGTCCCTGGAACCCACATGATGGAAGAAGAGAATTGACTCCTGTAAGTTGTCCTCTGACCACACATGTGCCTTGGTGCTCACATACATATATGTGCATGTTACATACATATACACACATTTTTATTTAATAAAAAAACCCATAAGCATTACTTCTCTTCAGAGCAATCACTAAATGATCAATGTAATATATTTTCCATAATTTTTTTACTAGCCTCCTGGAACAAGATACTGTATAAACATAGTGTGCCATTTTTGATAGCCTGAACCTTGAATTTTCTGGCTCTTGACCGTATATGCTCAGCCACTGTCCCAACAGTCAGTCCAAGATCACCCTTGAAGTATTCATACTTTATTTAAATGCCTCTAAAATGTTTCAGAATCACACCCTTTGCACCACTGTATGAAGCTCACTTTTTGGTAATTTATTTATATATTGTGTGTGTATGACTGCTTTGCCTCTAAGTATTGACACAATTAAAACTAACATCATTGTATTTTCTGCTTTTAGCATCTCAGACAGAAATAGAATGATTGAGCCAAAGAGTCAAAATATTTTTGTGATTCTTTCTACATGCAACCAAAATGCCTTTCAAAGGTATTACTTGGGCTACAAGGCAAAGACCACCGTGAGGCACCCCTGGAGCCTAGGTATCATTTTTTTCAAGTAGTTTCATAATTTAATATTGTTTTATATTTATTATTCTTTTTAAAAAATTTTAGTCTCCTAGTTTATTTATTTATTTATTTATTTATTTATTTATTTATTTATTTATTGGTCTTTTTGAGACAGGGTCTCCCTATAGCCCCACTGACCTAGAACTCACTATGTAGACCCTACAGGCGTGTGCCACTACGCCCAGCTATATTTATTATTCTTATTTTATGTGTATGAGTGTATTGCCTGCCTGTATGTGACTGCACCTGTGTCGTGCAATGCCACAGAGGTCAGAAGAGGGGGTCGGATTCCCCTGGAACTGGAGTTAAG